TCCAGGATGATGCTGGGGCCACGCACAGCTGAGCACTCAGTAGCATGAGATGCACCCTTGTCTTCTGTCTTGATGCTAACTCTTGTCCTCTGGGAGCCCACCTACAGCCTCAGGCAGACTTGGAAGTTCTTTCCCTGGCTGTGCTCTGACTTGTGTCCCTTAGGGCACTTAGCACAGTGAACTGGAGGCCTAGACCCTAGATCAATGCCCCCAAGGCTGTCATCCAGCACAGAGCTGGCACCAAGCTTGGCACCAAGGAAGGGTTTAATAAATAATGAATACACAAAGTGTTGTGTAGTTTACAACGCGTGCTCTTATTCGATGCATGTAAGACAGGGTAAGCACTGCAATAGTCTCTCATTTTATAGATGAGGGAACTAAGCTTCAGAGAGGTGAAGACACCAGCCTAAGGTCTCACAGCTGGCAAGTAGCTGAGCTGGCCTGAGTCCTGGAGGAGGAAACCCCACCTGTGCGCTGGCAAAATACGAGGGAACTTGGGTTCCAGTTAGGCTCAGGGTCAGGGGTGGGGGAAGTGGTGCTGTGTGTGGTCTGGGGCTGGGGGGGGGTGTGGTTTGATTCTTGACTCTGCCACTTATCAGTGGTATGACCTTGAGCTAGTGACTTCACCTCTCCAGGCCTTGGTTGCCTCATCTGTAAAGTGAGGCCATGATGCCCTGTCCCTGGGGACTGCCGGCTCCCTGAGGACAGGGTTTGTGGCTGTCTCTTGATTGTGCTTTCCTACTGCCTGGCACATTCTAGGTGCCCAGGGTGATGATAAGATCTTGCACACAGAATGGCTGGGTCCGAGCCCAGGATGTTGAGTGCCCTCAGGGACTGTTGGTTGTTACAGTGTCATTTGGGAACCGAGGCACAGAGAGCCTGATGGCTCCCCTGAGGTCACCCAGCCAAATCCAGAGCAGAAGTGGTGGCTTCACTGGAAAGTTGGGATTGGTAGCACTGCCACAGATGAAGCGGGACTGTGTCCAGGCCTAGGGGAGGGCCCGCTGGGTTGGGCTACAGTCCCAGGGGGCAGCAGGCATGCTGGGCAGGGAGGCTGAGCAGGGGTCTCTGAGTGCTGGGGATCTAGGGCTGCCCTCCACACGCCTGGAGGTGCAGAGGCTGCCCCCATCCCCGCCTGACTGACTCCCGTCCTCTACGCCCAGGCTGGCTGGAGGCTCTCGGTCGCCCTCTGCTGGGCTCTGGGTGCCTCTGCGGGGCCACCGCCAGAGGCTGTAAGAGGAAACCATGTCCCCTCCTCAGCTCAGTCTGGGCGTGAAAAAAAAAAGATACCAAAGAAACCCAGGTAGGAAGAGAAAGACCCCTCAAGCAAACCGAGGTCACAGATCATTTCTACAATGACTTTCCTAGCTCCCTGTGCTGTGCCAGGGGCCCTGGCCGGCTGGCTTTCTACCTCCCGGGTTCAAGCAGTCCTCCCATTTCAGCCTCCCAAATAGCTGAGATTACAGGTGTGCGCCACCATGCCCAGCTAATTTTTGTATTTTCAGTAGAGACGAGGTTTCACCATGCTGACCAGGCTAGTCTTGAACACCCTGACCTCAAGTGATCTGCCCGCCTCGGCCTCCCAAAGTGCTGTGATTACAGGCGTGAGCCACCACGCCTGGCTGGGTCCTGGCTTCTCTAGCTCCCACTGAGACCCTACAACAGGACACAGGTGCCCGCCACCAGCCCCAGAGGCTGCAGGACCCACCGCAGAAGCCTCACTGCTGTTTCCTAAAAGCCATGTCCAGGGTTTTTGGTTTTGTTGTGTTTTTGGCACATCTCAAGCCTTTGCCCACGTGCCTGTCCCTCTTGCCTTGTCGCCCCAATGGGCTCCACACTATCTGAGCCTCGAGGCTTCACTAGCCTGCGTGCCCCGTACTCTTATTCCCATACTTCCCCCGCCTGGCAGTTGGCACACAGCGCTGGGAGTCTTTCTTTGCTGAGACTTCCTCTCCTCCCCTTGACTGTGAGCTCAGGAGGTGTCTGAGTTTCCTAGCTCTGTTGTAACAAAGTACCACAATCTGGGTGGCTGAAACACCAGAAATTTATTGTCTCATCATTCTGGAGGGTGAAAGTACAAAGCAAGGTGTCTGCAAAATTGCTTCTTCTGAGATCTGTGAGGGAGACTGTTCCAGACCTGGTGCCTAGCTTCTGGAGGTTTGATGGCAACTTTTGGCATTCCTTGGTCCATAGAATCATCACTCCAGTCTCTGTCTTCATGTTCATATGGGGTTCTCCCTGTGTGCATGTCTGTTTCCAAATTGCCAATTTTTTTTTTTTTTTTTTTTGAGATGGAATCTTGCTCTGTTGCCCAGGCTGGAGTGCAGTGGTGTGATTTTGGCTCACTTCAACCTCCGCCTCCCAGGTTTGAGTGATTCTCCTGCCTTAGCCTCCTGAGTAGCTGGGATTACAGGCACCCAACACAATGCCCAGCTAATTTTTGTATTTTTAGTAGATACAGGGTTTCACCACGTTGGCCAGGCTGGTTTTGAGCTCCTGATCTCAAGTGATCCACCTGCCTCGGCCTCCCAGAGTGTTGGGATTACAGGTGTGAGCCACCACGTCTGGCCCAAATTTCCAACTTTTGTAAGGACGCCAGTCCTGTTGGATTAGGGCCTAGTGACCTCATTTTTTAACTTGATTACCTCTGTAATATCAAGTCAAATTCAATCCATTTGGAATACCTCCAAGTAAGGTCAGCTACTGAGTTACTAGGGGCTAGAACTGCAGAATATGAATTTATTTTTCTCATTTCAACAGAAAACTCAGAAAGGTAATGAAAGGGAATTCAACCTTTGACAAATGTTTATTAAACACGCAGTTGTGATAGACACTAGTTCTAGGTGCTTAGGATGGCATTCATTCATTCATTTGTACCTAGAACCATGTCTGACGCATAATAGGAGCTCAATAAATGTTTGTTTAGTGAGAAAATTAATTCATTCAATAGTCATTCAGGCTGTAAAAGGAGCCTTCAATTCCCTCAGTAAAATAAGTTGAATTACATAATTACCTCTTAGGTTTGTTGACAGGGTGAAATGAATGTATTATTAGTAATAACTATAAGAAGCTTCTATATGCTAAGATAGATGGTCTTCGTGTACAACGTTCAATACTCACAGCAGCCTTATTCAAATGAAATTCACTGGCCGGGCATGGTGGCTCAAGCCTGTAATCACAGCACTTTGGGAGGCCGAGGTGGGTGGATCACTTAAGGTCAGGAGTTTGAGACCAGCCTGGCCAACATGGTGAAACCCTGTCTCTACTAAAAATACAAAAATTAGCTGGGCGTGGTGGCGTACGCCTGTAATCCCAGCTACTCAGGTGGCTGAGGCGGAAGAATCCCTTGAACCCAGGAGGTGGAGGTTGCAGTGAGCCGAGATCACACCACTGCACTCCAGTCTGGGTGATAGAGGGAGACTGAGTCTCAAAAATAAATAAATAAATAAATAAATAAATAAATAAAATAAAATAGAATTCACCTAACATAGAAATCACCATTTTAATCATTTTAAAGTATGCAACTCAGTGGTTTTTAGTGTATTCATAATACATATATATATATATATATATATATTTTTTTTTTTTTTGAGGGGAGGGAGTCTCCGTCTGTCACCCAGGCTGGAGTGCAGTGGCCGGATCTCAGCTCACTGCAAGCTCCGCCTCCCGGGTTTACGCCATTCTCCTGCCTCAGCCTCCAGAGTAGCTGGGGCTACACCCGGCGCCCGCCACCTCGCCCGGCTAGTTTTTTGTATTTTTTAGTGGAGACGGGGTTTCACCGTGTTAGCCAGGATGGTCTCAGTCTCCTGACCTCGTGATCTGCCCACCTCGGCCTCCCAAAGTGCTGGGATTACAGGTGTGAGCCACCGCACCCGGTCAATGAGACCACCTTTTGACGCAGGGCAGGTAAGCCCCAAAGTGGAGCTGAGCCCACAAGGGTTCTTGGCTTTGCCCAAGAAAGAATTCAAGAGCAAGTTGGAGGCAGAAGAAAACGGCTTTATTGAAGTGGCGGCGTTACAGCTCCATGACTGCTCCTGCAGAGCAGGGCTACCCTCTTAGGTAGAGTCAGGGCAGTTGTGCATTGATATTTATACGTACTTTTAATTACATGCAGATTAAGGGGTGGTTTATGCAGGCGTTTCTAGGGAAGGAGTAGTAACTTTTGGGTCATGGTGCCATTGCCATGGAAAGGGGCGGTAACTCACGAGTGTTGCCATGGCAACGGTAAACTGACTTGGCGCACTGATGAGCTAGTTTTAGGGAAGCCAGCTTCCGCCCAGGCCCTGTTTTAGTTAGTTCTCAGTTTGGGCAGGTATCTCAGCCCCATCTCTGAACGGAGTCTTGCCTTCTACCTCACCTTTGTAGAAAGTTTTTGCCAATACATGTCTTCCACCCTCTCAGGTGCATATCTAAGAGGGTACTACTTTTTGGGGGAACTGCCAAATTGTTTTCCAGAGCAGCCGCACCATTTTGCATTCTCACCAGCCCTGTATGGGGGTTCCAATTTCTCCGAACTCTCGCAACCTTTGCGCTTTTCTGTCTTTTTGTTTATGGCCATCCCAGTGGGTGCGAAGTGGGATCTCGCTGTGGTCATGCTTTGCATTCACCCGATGACTAACCATGTTGAGCCTCTTTTCACAGACTTACGGCCATTCCACAGCAGCCTTTTGAGCTAGGTGTAATCTCCATCTGATAGTGGAGGAAACAGATTCAGAGAGTTAAAGAGACTTGCTGAACGCAAGGGGGTGGTGGGGCTGCGCCTGGGACTTGGGTGTGTCTGTCTCCGAAGCACCGCAGAACCAAATTAAAGGTAGAAGCAGGTCCAGTCTGAGCGGCAGGAGACCTGGTCGCCGGTGCGTTCACTTTGGACAAGTCCTTTCCTCGTTCCGGGTGTTACTTTCTCCTCCGTGCCACTTGGGGCGATATACTTCAAACATCTCTGGCTTCTCTAGGAACCAGAATCTCTAAGATCAATCGTTCCAGTGCGGCGTTTGCCCCGCCCCTTCAGTCCCAGTTGCCAGCGACGCCGGAAGTGCTCGGATCTTTTGGTTTGCGCCCGCCTCCGGCCCGGAAGTGCTCTCTTGGGAAGATGGCGGCTGTGTCGGTGTATGCTCCGCCGGTTGGAGGCTTCTCTTTTGATAACTGTCGCAGGTGCGGCCTTGTCTGGGGCTTGGCTCAGGGAGGGAGTAAGAGTGCGGTGCTCGGGTGGGAGCTGGGCAAAGGCCTGATACGAGAATTCTGAGGGAAGAGTGCATGGCGGGGCCTGTGGCCCGCGGCCCGTGTGACTCAGGGGAATCAGGGCCTGGGCGTGGGTTTCTCCTGAAGCCGGGTCTGCTCTCCCACCTTCAAAGCGCTCTCGGCCACCGTTTATCTCCGTCTCCTAAGGCACGTCACGGCCCCTCTCTGAGACTGTCTTCGTTCAAAACGGGAGAACTGCTGATGGGAGGATTCATTGAACAGATGGGCGTGAAAACAAATAGTAGCTTTACTGAGTTCTCTGTTAGGCACTCTTCATGCCAGTGCTGCGCGATGTGGTCCTGCCCTTCAACACTTGATTCTCTCATTTGCTCTCAGGAATGCCGTCTTGGAAGCCGATTTTGCCAAGAGGGGGTACAAGCTTCCAAAGGCCCGGAAAACTGGCACGACCATCGCTGGGGTGGTCTATAAGGTAAGCCAGGTTAGGGTAAGAGCAGCAGTGACTGAACCGGTAACAGGAATCAGAACACTTGGCTTCCTCTGTCTCTCCTGGCTCGGTCTGGAAAGGCAAATACTAGAGAATACATCAGGAGACCGTCTTTCAGGAGGGACTGCTTTTGTCTGGTTTTGTGTGCTTCTTAACAGTTTATGTTCTTTCCTCACTTTGCTGAGTTTTTTTTTTTCTTTTTTCCTTTTTTTTTTTTTTTTAACAGGTCAGTTAGCTTCTTAATTACTAGTTTAGGAAGCCGAAGTATGTGATGGGACATCACGAGATTTGGGGTCAGACAGGTCTGTCTCACCTTTGAACTCTATAATGCTGATTCCAACTTCGGGCAGCTAGATTTCCTTCTCACAGGTCTCCTTCAGATGCATCAAATGGGGATAACTCCTGCCTTAAATTGTTGTAAACGTCAAAAGAGATAATGATTACCTGCGCAACTTGTTTTAAGGAAGAGCAACATGTTTTAAAAGGAAATTGACTGTGATGGCTACTTTAATGGGAAGATTCCTGAGTCTTAATCCAGGTTTTTTCCAGATTAGCTCTGATTTGCAAGGAATTCACCAGACACCTGAGCCTCACTTGAAACTGGGAATATTTCTTACCTACTCAGGATTCAATTAGTAGCATTTACTAAGAAACTTTTTCTTAAATCCTGAAAGTGTAGCACAATATTTTTGGTATGAGTTTTGTTTGGCGTTTTGAGATTAGGGGAGCATGGTATGGCCAACATAGTATTCCCTAAAGTAGAATGGAGAGTTGTGGTTGGTTTATATTTGTAATATTGTTTAAAAACTTTTTTTTTTTTCTCAATAGGATGGCATAGTTCTTGGAGCAGATACAAGAGCAACTGAAGGGATGGTTGTTGCTGACAAGAACTGTTCAAAAATACACTTCATATCTCCTAATATTTAGTAAGTATTGATTCATTTGAATAACTCTTTTATTTTCAAACGTGTCAGGGTAAAAATTGACCTTCCTGTGCTCTTCACTAAAACCTGTTGTTCAACCTGTATTTTCTATCTCCTTTAAATGGCATTTCCGTCCACCCGTTACCCAAGCTAGTCATCTTCAAGTCCGCTCTTTGCTCAGTCTCCAATTGCATTGGTAGCCAGTTTTGCCCTCCCTGTGCCTCTTGAATCCATTCCCTCCTATCCTTTCCTTTGCTAAGGCTCTAGTTTGGGTTCTTTCTTTTTTTTCTTTTTTTTCAAACATTAACTTGAACCATAGAGGTTCTTTTTTCTTAGCTGAACTATTGCAGTTATTTAATTTGCCTCTCTTAGGCATCCTATTGTTCACTCTTCTGCCATATTGGATTTTGTAAAACATAGATCTGATGACGTCCCTTTGTTAAAAAGCTTTTCATGAGACTTGTCACATTTCCACACGACTTTTAGGATAAAAATCAAAATTCTGTGGCCTTGCACAGTCCATAGAAAGCCTACCCTTCAAGCCTCTCTTTCAGTTGCCATCACCCTGTGCTCCAGTTGCATCTGAACTGTCATCTGAACTGTCCCTGTTTCCCTCATCTCCAAGCTATTCCACTGTTGCTTATGTGAGATTCTATTTAGAAACTCTTCCTTCTCTGCTTGTAGAGTGTTTTTATTCCATTTTATTCCAGGTCATATATAACCTTTTCTTTTCTTTTTAAAATATTTCTTGTTTTTTTTTTTTTTCCTGGGAGAGATGTGGTCTCACTATGTTGCCTAGGCTGATCTTGATCTTCTGGCCTCAAGTGATCATCCCGCCTGGGTCTCACAAAAAGTGCTGGGATTACAGGCATGAGCCATCATGCCCAGCGTGAAACCTTTTCTTAATAATCAGAATCAATTGCTTTCTCCTCTGGTTTCCCGTAGCATTTTGTACTTATGTTACTACAGTATATTAAATTATGTATTATAATTTTCATCGTCTTGTGTGTCTTCCACTCAACTTTGAAATCCAGTACAAGTCCTGTCATATTTTCTTTATTCCCAGTGCTTAGTGTAATAACTGGTATCTGATAGTAAGTACTTGGTAGATGTTGAATTGCAAGACTTTTAACACACCTTGCACTTCTGTACAACTTGGATATATTTGTAGCGTTAATGAAATGCATAGTCTTATCACAGAAACCAATAATTTCGTACGTTCCGTTGGGCCATAGATAATATATTTGCATATAACTAGATGCATTTTCTTAATTTTCTGTTCATTTAAGATTGATTAAGCAGAAAAGTTACAGCATAGATACACTCAAAAACATCTCTCTGGGTACCTGGACTTCTTGGAAGTTATCCAAGAACCCCCTACTTCTAATTGAGCCCTCTGATAATTGGATTTCAACTGAGTTTCTAATTGGATTTTTCAGTTGTTGTGGTGCTGGGACAGCTGCAGACACAGACATGACAACCCAGCTCATTTCTTCCAACTTGGAGCTCCACTCCCTCTCCACTGGCCGTCTTCCCAGAGTTGTGACAGCCAATCGGATGCTGAAGCAGATGCTTTTCAGGTAAGTTTCCAGAATGGGGATTCCTGGTGGTATCTTTTGCTCATATCTTAGATTTTTTCAGCCAGGAGAAGCCTAGAAAGTAGCAAAAAAGCCTTCAGAAATACACATTTTGTTCCAGAAATCAGTTGTTATGTTAAAGAGCCACTTTAAATGGTTTTTGATAGTGCATTTGAATTTCTGGGGCCTGATTCTTTTCATGAGTAAATCACATGTCACCAGTTGAGTCATTTCCTGAAGCATAGGGATATTACTGGGTAAGAGAAACTTTTTTGCTCATAGTAAGAGAGTTATAGCTGGAGGAACTATGAATTTGTATTGTGAAACTACTCTCTCCTCCCCATAAACACAAAGCCAAATGAGTGTCTCCCCTTCCCCCCTGCCCCCTTTAGGGGCAAAATAACAATGAATGAAAAGTGGTATTTATAATTGGCTGTCAGTGGGTATGATAATATTAATATTAACCAACCTTTATCTATCTCTTACTCTGTTTCAGGACCTATGTTAAAGTGCTTTACGCATGCTCTCATCCTTTTAACTGAGATAGGGGCTATGACCTGACCTTCATTCTCTGCTGACTCACAGCTCATATTAGTAATTTTGTTTCTCTTTCTCCTTTAATAATTGCGTCATTACCTTATGTTTGTATGGGTCTTGGGAGTTTTCAAAGTGCATTTTCTTATTGGCTTCTCATAAGAGAAGCAGTGATTATAGGAGAAATACCCTGGGCATTTAGTCTTGGGTGGAATACTGGCTTCTCCTTTAGGGACCTGCCTTACCTTTAACATATTCTTTGCCTTTTTCCTTCTATGTGAAATGGATATCATAATACCTGCCCCTAGCAGGGTTGTTGTGAGAATTAAAGGGGAGCATGAATAGACAGTAAAGATTTTGAACTGGTGGCTTATAGGCCATCAGCTTGTAGAGAAATTTATTTGGATCATATGGCTATTTTTTTTTTTTTTTAAATAGTGGCTAATAATTATAAATGGGTAGATTTGAATTAAAAGTCTAGATTTTGGCTTGGCACAGTGGCACATGCCTATAATCCCAGCACTTTGGGAGGCCAGGGTTCGCGAAATCACCTGAGGTAAGGAGTTCGAGACCAGCTTGGCCAACATGGTGAAACGTCTCTACTAAAAGTACAAAAATTAGCCAGACGTGGTGGCACTCGCGTGTAATCCCAGGTACTCGGGAGGCTGAGACAGGAGAATCGCTTGAACCTGGGAGGTGGAGGTTGCAGTGAGCCAAGGTCATGCCACTGCACTCTAGCTTGGGTGACAGAACAAGACTGTGTCTCAAAAAAAAAAAAAAAAAAAAAAAAAAGAAGTCTAGATTTCTGTCTTTTGAAAACATTCAGAAACACGTGGTCGTAATCTTCGGGAACTCATTGGTGGATGTTGCCTTAGAAGTGGGAGTGGGTACTCTGTCACATTCTCTGCCTGGCTCACCTCACTGTTCCCTTCAGGGCCCTGGCCTTCTTGAGAATTTGCGGGTCCTCCTCTGTGTGTCTAGCATGGCCTGTGGGTTTTCAGTAGTGTATATGAGGTTGAGGGTAGCCTTGTAGCAAGGCCAGTAGTATAGTTCCCATTTTACAAATGAGACCAAAGCCTAGAGTCATATGTATAGGAAGCATAGTCTACCCAATTGCTGCTTTGTGTTTGTGTACATATCATTGTTCTAATCCAGGAGAATTATTGCCAACCAAATTCTTCCAGTACAGTGAGTAGAACTTGTTAAAGCACACCTATTGATTAGATTTCTGAAGAGATTTGTGGATTTTAATTTTAAATATAAAGCTCCCTCTGGTGGCTTGCTTGGCACATTATATGTAAGGCTTTTTTGAAAACTTTTTCTATACAGTGTGTCTATGTAATAAAGGCAATTTTCAAGCTTCTAAAATTGCCGCAAATAGAATGTTTCAAGATTCCTTGTAATGTCATTTAAAACAATTAGCAAAATAATCTAGCACGTTTCTGTTAATCACTAGAATGTTTTAAAGAATTCTAAAGTCTCTGCCGGGCGTGGTGGCTCATGGCTGTAATCTCAGCACTTTGGGAGGTCGAGGCGGGTGGATCACGAGGTCAGGAGATTGAGACCATCCTGGCTAACATGGTGAAACCCCATCTCTACTAAAAATACAAAAAATTAGCCGGGCGTAGTGGCAGGCGCCTGTAGTCCTTAGGCTACTTGGGAGGCTGAGGCAGGAGAATGGTGTGAACCCGGGAGGTGGAGCTTGGCAGTGAGTCAAGATAGTGCCACTGTACTCCCGCCTGGGTGAAAGTGTGAGACTCCGTCTCAAAAAAAAAAAAAAAAAAAAAAAAATTCTAGTCTCTTTTCAGTGTTTTGTCATTTTTTAGTTTAAGATACTTTGTAAAAGTTAAATTTTATCAAATTTTGAGAAGAACATTTAAAAATATAAACCAGCGTAATAGTTACAGTCTTTTATGTCCTCTTACATTTTTGGTGAGTTACATAAAATGAGAGTGGTTTAAGGAAAGAGTTTAGGATTTGACTTTAGAACTTTGGTTCACCTCCCACCTACAGCACTGACTGTTGTGTAAATTTGGGTGACTCTTTCTCAACAAAATGAGGATTATAGTTTCTGTCTGTCTGACTTTTGAGGAGGACAGGAATAAAGAAGCTAGGCTCTGACCTTGCCTACTACAGAGCCTACTGCATAGTTAGAGCCCCATAAAATTCAGTCTGGAAAGGGATACAGGGTGTTCTTGGTACTGCTGTACTTTTTTTTTTTTTTCTGAACTGCCCATTTCCATGTATGTGAATCAGTGAGAAAATAAGGTTTGATAAACAGAAGTGACCTCTTTTCCCTTACTTAAGCACTGCCTTTATCTCACACCTATGCTGGCTCGATGTAGTTGATGTAAGTAATGCTTGTTCTGTGGGCATGGAGCCTCCTTGTTGAGTTGCATAGAAATATTAGTGAAATGCTGTTCTGTGTTCTGGAAACTATTACTTGAATATGTAGAGGCTCTTACATTGTAACTTTTTTTCTAATAAACGTGTACATTTATTGTAGGAAATTTAGAAAATACTGAAAAGCCCAAAGAACAAAATGAAAATTTTGCCATTCAGGGAGCATCACTCTTGGTTTACTGTATATTATTCCAGTCTTGTGTCTTCTAAGTTCTTCCCTTCCTCTCTTCCTTTTATATTACTATTACATGTTCATGGTAAAAACAAAACAAAGCTGGAAGATACAAACAAAAAGAATATAAAAAACTACCTGAATTCCTGCCACCCACAAACAATTAGTGCTAAGAGATTATTACACAACCTTCAAGGTTTTAAAAATATGTTCAGTAATATTTTATTAAAAAATGGGATTATAGTTGTACGGACTCTTTATAGTACAGCCTAATCTTTTCACCTAACAGTGTGTCTTGAATGGGTTCTATACTAGGGCATTTCAAAATGAAAATAACTGTTGTTAAACTTATAAAAATAATGTAATTGTAAAAAATGTAGACGCTAGAAACCTGGATAGAAGTAAATGCCACCTGATGTTCTGCCACTTAGACACACACACTGTAAATTTTTGAAGATCTGTTTTTCCATACCTTTTTTTCTAGACATGTATCCTTGTATGTATGCATTTAAAAGAATGAACTGTTTGTGTGTTGTTTTGTAATTTTCCTTATGTACATAATAGTATGTTACAAATATTGTTCCAGTCAGTAGATGAGTTTTTCTCTTGAACCCATAGAGAAGTTCTGAATACTTGTAACTCTCCTGAAATCAGAAAAAATGTTTGTGTGTACTCTTATGGAGGAAAGTTTCCACAATTGTAATCAGTTTTTGTTTTTTGTTTTTTTTTGAGACGGCGTCTCGCTCTGTCGCCCAGGCTGGAGTGCAGTGGTCGGATCTCAGCTCACTGCAAGCTCCGCCTCCCGGGTTTACGCCATTCTCCTGCCTCAGCCTCCCGAGTAGCTGGGACCACAGGCGCCCGCCACCTCGCCCGGCTAGTTTTTTGTATTTTTTTTAGTAGAGACGGGGTTTCACCGAGTTAACCAGGATGGTCTCGATCTCCTGACCTCGTGGTCCGCCCGTCTCGGCCTCCCAAAGTGCTGGGATTACAGGCTTGAGCCACCGCACCCGGCCAATTGTAATCAGTTTTTAAAAGGGCTCTGTGACCCATAAAAGCCTAAGAACTATTAATCAGTATCATAATTTTTGGTGGTGTCATAGTATCCGTTTTGTGGCTGTGTTACAACTTAACCAATTTTTGAACATTAATGAAATTGCCCATTTTAAGGTATTTAAGCTATTGTTAGGTGTTCTATGAACGCTTTGGAACGTAGAACCTTTGGGTTCTGGTGTAATTAATTCCTTAGACTGTATTCTAGAATAAATGCACATTTATTTAGTTTTGCACATTTAACATTTTGAGAGATGTTGTCAGAGCTCTCCGTTGACAAACGTTGTACTACCATTAGTAGCAAAGGAGAAAATGCAGCATGATTGTTAAATTTTATTTTATTTTAGATAGAGTCTCTTTCTGTTGCCCAGGCTGGAGTGCAGTGGCATGATCATGGCTCACTTAAAAGCAGTGCATGGCGGATGACTTGAGCCTTAAAATTCTAGGCTCAAGTCATCTGCTCGCCTCAGCCTCCTAAGTAGCTGGGACTAAAGGCCCATGTCACCATGCTTGGCTAATTTTTTTGTTGTGTTTGTTTTTTTAAACTTTTTGTAGACGATGTCTCACTATGTTGCCTAGGCTAGTCTCAAACTCCTGGCCTCAAGTAATCCTCCTGCCATGACCTCCCTAGGTTTTGGGATTACAGGCGTGAGCCACCGCACTGAGCTTAGCATGATTTTTAATGATTGTGTGATGTTCTGTTGTACAGCCGGATCAGTTTAGCCGTTTCTCCCTCTGCCTGTTTCCAGTTTTTTAATCATCATAAACAATGCTGTTGTGAGCATCCTTGTGCATTCATTTCTGTATATTTGTCTGTTTATATCCTTAGAATAGAGTCCTGCTAGAATCTCTGGATCAGTAAATTACTGAAATTTTAACGATTTCAATAATTTGCCAAAACATCTTGATTCTTTTAAAGGCATATAACAGTTAATATTTTAGCTTAGAAGGCAACTAGCTGATTATTATTGACTTTATTTAAATACCCTGTTCAGTAGACAGTTGGCATAGTAGAATAGGCACTGGACTAGTTGAGGGTGGTGGGACTGGGCGATTGTGGCTTCTCTTCCTGGAGCCCTTGGCCCTAGTCTCACCCTGCTGCTAGCTCGTGTGGCCTTGAATCAGTTTCTTCCCTTGTCTGGGGCTCTGTTCTTTTTTTAGACTACTTCTAAAATCTTTTCCTAGGAAGTTCTTGAAGTTTTTACTTATAAATGGAAGGTTCTTTTTGAAATAACAATTTGGTAATCGAGGAACAGGGCAAGTATTGGACCACTGTTCTGTTTACTTAGAGCACTTCTGGATGGGTGGCTATGTCTCAGACAAAGTTATGACTTTGGTTCTTGTGTTAATTTATTTGTAACAGTTTTAATGATTACATTGTTTGGCAAATTCAGTATGTGTTGGTTTTGTTTTTCTTCCCAAAGAGCTGAGGGCTCACAGTGGAGAACTTTAAATCCAGCATGTTTATCTAGCACAGCAATTCTAATGTTAAAAAACTGTACCAAATACAGGGAGAGGAATCTATAGAAATGGAAAAAAGAGTCCAAAGGAACAAATATGTGCACAATTAAATGGAGATGGGGTGGGTGGAAAATGTATTCCTGTGATGTTCCTGAAGAAGTGTAAGGTTTTTTTTTTTTTTTTTTTTTTTTTTTTTTTTTTTTTTTTTTTTTTT